AAATGTGTGATGTTTTTAAGGGAGGAATAAAAACCTCAAAATATAAAGCTCAGAAAAACTGAGAATTTATGATGGGGGTGGGGTCTTCATAGGGGGAAATTGACTCTTAGGAGTGAAAAAAATCTCCATCAACAGATAGACTGTATATCTATTAAAATTTTAGAAGGGATGCCTGGGGCTGTAACTTAGTTGTAGAGCGCTTACCTAGCACTCAGGAGGCTCTGGATTTGATCCCAGTCAGCATCCCCCACTGCAGGGGGAGGGAGAGTGGGAAGGACAGAGATGTAGAGGGACTTAAAAATTTACAAAGAAGGAAACAAATTATATATATATATATATATAGGCAAAATGAAAACCATATTAAGAAACACTGATTGAGGAAAATTGTAATATAGACAAGTATGTTTTTCCTATATGAGAAACTAGAAATTGTAAATGAAAATTCATTCAGATTTAATGGAGAGATTCATTATGATTTAATGGAGAAATATTAAAAAAATGTGAGTGGACTTAAAAATTTTCATATATTCTAAAATTCACTAGGGTGTTAAGATAATATTGGTAAGAAGAAAATACTAAAAAATGATATTAGCCTTTGCTTTAAAACTTCATTAATTAAAAGAATGTGGTAACCTTGGCATGATTGCACCCATTCAGATTAATTGAGAAAGTTCAAACTAAATGAGTATTTATTTTATGATAAAGGCAGCCTTGTGAAATAGTGAGGAGGAAAATTGTTATCAATCATGGGTCTTTCTGGAATGATGACCAGTATTTGGATAAAAACATTAAGTGAAAACTCTCCCTCAAGCTATGGGAAATTGTATTCAAGATAGATCAAAGAATAAAAATAAAACAAGGAAATCTTATATACCTAAAAAAATGTACATGGATATTTTCCTGATTTGTTGGTAGAAAGCACCTTCTTATTTAAAAATATTTATTTATTCAGGCACTGGAGATTAAACCCAGAAGTGCTCTACCACTGAGCTACATCCACAGTCCTTTTTATTTTTTATTTTGAGATGGGGTCTTGCTAAGTTACCCAGTCTGGCCTCAAATTTGTGATCCTCCTGTCTTAGCTTCCCCAGTTGCTAGATTACAGGTGTGTGCCCTCAAGCCTGGCTAGAGAGGACTTTTAGAAAAACTATAGTGAAACCAGATTAAAAAAATTTTTTTTAACTATTTTGACCAAATGAAAAATAAAGAGATCTACATCAAAGAATTCCCATAAGCAATAATAATGTGGAAGCAACCGACTTAGAAAACTACTTAAAACATTTTGTGTGTATTATAAAAAGTTAAAAATCCTCAATGAATACAGAGAACCTGCACATCCATAATATGAACATGAGGTTAAACAATGGTTGGTAGTACAAGTGGACCATGGGGAGAGGAAGGGAAGGAACTTATAATGGGGATGGGGTCTTCATAGGGAATGAGATGGATCAAATTATATGCACATACAGATACAGTATAATGAATCTCCCTATTACATAAAATTTTAATATACCAGTAAAAATAGTAATAATTTAAAAATGGTTGGTATGCATAAGGAACAGCTCTTAAAAGAATCCACGAAATACTAAGCTCATGAAAAATGTTAATTCACCATGAGTTCAAGAAATGCAGGTGGGCTGGGGGTGTATGTTGCTCAGTGGTAGAGTACTTGCTTAACATGTTAGGGTCTTGGGTTTGATCCTCAGCACCACATAGAGAAGAAAGGCGCGGGGTGGGAAGGAAAGAAAAACCAAATGCAAATGAAAATTTAACTTAAGTGCATTTATTTTCCTCCTTCTCTCCATTGGTAATGACTAAGCAAGACCACATGTTATCCGGGAGTTTGGGGAGAGCAAGCAAATGGGTGCAGACTCCCTTGAGAGAGGAAGTCTGGCCCTTTCATTCAATTCTACTTCCTTATTTTTATTCAGGGTAATATTTCAGGATATGTACAAACACTGATATATAAACAAGGATATTCTCTGGAATAATAATCAGATTAATTAATGAAAAGTTAGAAACAAATTGTGTTGAGCAATAGGAAATTATTAGAGGCTATTTATAGCATTAAATACTAAGCAGCCACAAAACAGTCTATTTTGGAGGACTAATCGTGGAGCCTGAAATTCCCAGTCCACAATCATTACAAAATAGTGGACAATAAAGTCTCATTTATAAAAATTACTTATGTGCCCAGAGAAGATAAGGAATGAGACACACAGAGTTATTAATCGTGGGTATCTCTGAGTGGTAAGTTTAAGGCAATTTTCCTCTGTGCTTTTCTAGCATTTAAAATTTTTGTTCCATAGCCATTTGCTAAAATAGATCAAAACCCACTTCATCTGATGATTAATAATATATTGCTTTGCAGGATCCCACGTCCAATTGGTCTGTAATGTCACTGGCCACTTCACTGACCTTGTCTACTGGAAGTGGAATGGGTCACTAATTTCACCTGATGATCCAATCCTGGTGGAAGACTTTGAATTGTGAGTGTGTCAGTCGATGTTATGTTAAAGTCTGTGTCGTATTTTTATATATAACCTTGACAGTTTAGTCTAATATTGAAGATTAGTTGGAAGTTGATGGTTCTTAATCTTTTGCTGCCCATTTTGAGTTTCGTGAAATAAGCTAAACAGATTTGTACATTTAAGGTAAAAATAATACATGTCATTATGTTGTAAACTCTGGACGACGTAGAAGCCTTTCTCTTAAGTTCAGTTATACATGTTGCAACATTCCAAAGAAGCAAGTATCCTGAGTTACTCTTCCTATTGTTTTAAGTAGTTTAGAAAAGACTAATTAAGTGGAGTCAAGAAGCAGATACTCTACTTCCAAGTCTCTATTGGCTTCCCATCATCCCTTCCATGATCACTATCTTCGAAACACTTTATCACCTGCCCCAGATGAGTGTTGTTTAGAGAACAGACTATTCTTGTTTTATGCTTCTCTGTGCCCCATGGATACCAAAATGCTTAGCTTATATTTTTCCTTTTGGAAGCAGGTAATTTTAACTTGATGTCTTTGTTTTGTTACTGAGTCTCACACGGGTATGGCCAGCAGTCTGCTGAGTCAGTGGTTGGTGATTATTTCAGCGGCAGTTTATGTGACAAATAAAGAAATAAACCAGACATGCATCCTTATGTGTAGTTGGTACAATTTATTTACACAATTTTATTTATCCTCTCTCTTGAACAGGGTGAACAGTCCTTCAGCCAATAGAAAAACTATACACATTATAACGCTTAATATTTCAAAAGTCAAAAGTCAATTTTATCTATATCCATTTACCTGTTTGGTCAACAGTAAATCTAATATATACTCAGCATACATACAATTAACCCTTCCAGGTAAACAACAAACTTATTTATTTGAAATGCAATGTTTTGTTGCTTCTGTTCTCATAAAAATCTAAGACCTTGAGTTTCCAATGCTGTTTTCCCCTGCCTGGAACTCTCTTCATCTTCTCTTCAGCTGAGCAACTTCTTCCTCTTCATTTCTCAGCTGAGCTATCTGTTCTTATAGGAAGCTTTTCTGATCTGACTCCTGCCCTTAATCCAGTTCTCTGCCAAAGCAGATGAGTTTAGTATGATTTCAGTGTATGTCTAAATACAAACAACATGCAAAGGTAAACCAAATTTAAAAGATAACCTTTATAGTAGTTTCAAAAAAATAATCAAATACTTAAGAATAAACATAGCAAAAGCTATTCAAGTCCTCTGTGAAACAATTTAAAAACATATCATTGAGATTTATCAGGGATCAGATAGATGGAGGGATATAC